ATATTAAAGTAAAAACCCAACGATTGATAGCCTATATATTACTTGAAAAAATTATAAGAATCACATTTAGACAAGTATACAACAGACAGTATCATAATCAACTTTTTATGAATCATACTGATTCATGGATTATACCTGGAAAAATTATTGACCTAGAACCTGCTGAGGCATCAAAACTTCAGTATATTATTGGATGGACTATCTACAAATTAACAAAAGTGATAGATTAATATTAGCACATGAAAAATTTGCAAAAATCAAATCATGTTTAAATGTTCTTAGCTCTGAGCAAGTAGAATACATATGTGATACTCATTCAAAGATGACAATAGTTATTCCAGGAGCTGATTTTATTTAATTCATATATTATTTAGAGTTGTTCATTTTTTAGCTGTTTGAAAAACACATAGAGTATGGGCCAGATATTCTAATTTACATCGATAATAATCTTGTAAGCAATCAACCTTTAAAGAAGCAGTTTAATGATCTTTTGCAAATAGCATACGAATTTTATCGTAATGCTGAATATAAAAATAAAGAATTATTTTCAGAATTCATACATAATAGTATTCAATTATCACAAGAAGCTGAAGACTATCTATTGGTACGTTTGATTAAAATTTACATGCGAAGCAGGCAATGGTCCTGGCAATGATTTAAGGAATATATTTCAGAAAAAGGTTCATCTTGTTTACGAGAGAATGTCAAGGCAATGGGTGTAGATTTAAAAAATAATGCAAAAAAAGATGATCAACCAAAAACGAAACTTGTTACATTTAAGAAAGGGATGCTACCAGAAAATCTTGAGTTAGCACTTGGTCAGCTTAAGATTTGGGCTCGAGATAACAGTGCTAAAAGTGCATTCGAGAAGACATTCACGTTATCTGACCTAACGATTCTTGTTTAAGCGTTTCAAAATAAACTATTAAAGATAAAAGAAAAAAAAAAGTCAGTTCTTATCAATCTACTTTTTAATCATTTGAATAATGGCTCTGAGTTTAACGAAGAAACAAAAAAGAAAAGTCAACTTTGTACTTGAAATAATCAAGTGTTACTCATAATTCATATGTAAGCTTTACACATTATTAGAAGAAAAATATGTATATGGAATTTTTGCTATAAGAATACCCACAGATACTATGTAAATCAATGTGTTGGAGGGTCATTTTTATAGCAAATACCCATATATATGCATAGTTGGTTTTATATAATGATAATTTTGATTAATTTACATTTAGGAAGCTGGATCAGAAATAACTGAAGATGGCAATTAAAATGGACAGTGTAATATCGAGTATTTGGTATTTGAAATCCACTAATATAATTTTGAAGTTTGTTATGACGAAAGTATAGATTAAAAGGCAATGATTTACTTGGACAATGTAATCTTGGAAAGACATAGCTAATTTTGATAAACAAAATGTTATTATGCTATTGAAATAATGGTTTCAAAAAGTAATAAATTCGAAAAAGCAAA